TCTTGAGCCGCAGGTGCCAAGCCTGGCTCAGGCTTTTGTGTTAATAACTTAGTAAGTAGTAACCTTACTTGGTTAAAGACCTTTAATTTTGATAAAATAATTTTTCCCTTATGTCGTATGCATTTACATCAATTGTCCTCTTCTCCCAGGTTGTAAGGTGTTCTCCTACAGTTTCTTATTAACTATAAAATTTTTCTCTCATATTTAGATCTTTATTTCATGTGGAGTCTGTCCTTAAATGTGGTATGATATAGAGATCTGATTTTACTTTTCTCCTTTTTTTTTTTTGAGACAGAGTCCCACTTTGTCACCCATGGTAGAGTGCAATGGTGTCACAGCTAAGCAATTCTCCTGCCTCCTCCTCCCAAGTAGCTGGGATTACAGGCACCCGCCACAACGCCTGGATATTTTTTGGTTGCAGCGGTCATCGTTGTTTGGCGCGCCTGGGCTGGATTGGAACCCGCCAGCTCAGGTGTATGTGGCTAGCGCCTTAGCCGCTTGAGCCACAGTCGCCGAGCCCTTATCCTGTTTTTGATGTCATCACCCTTCACAGTCCTTCACATCATTCTGTACATATTTAGTGATTGACCTTAACTGCTGTTTTCTCCTCTGTGCCCAACATCTAGCCGCCTGTAATGGGACAGTTCTCCTTGGCATCATTTCTTCTCTTTTTTGACTTCAGCCCTCATCTTCATCTGCTCCGCCCCCTGAAGCCAGCCCCTTGATTTTCTCAAAAGAAAAAACCTGGGAGACCCTCCAAAAAACATGATGCTCCAACCTTTAAAGGGTGTAAATCCCAATCCACAGACCAGTTTTTGCTGTCACTGAGTAGCTGAGCCCTTGATCAGGATTTTCACAATACACAGTAGACTTATCCAAAGCAAGTAGTGTCGGAACCCACTACCCACAATTTGATCTTGTCCAGCCTTCAACTTCTGAGCTACATTTAAAATAAATGGATGTAATACATTTTCATTTCTGAGCTACCCAGCAAGGAAGAATGGGTAAGTTTGCCTCAGAGACTAAAATTCTTATCCATAAAATAGGTTTGTCCAGCCTTCTAAGGGTCTGCCCCCTGAAACACACATACTGCCTATGGCCTGCTACTCATCGGAGGTCCCATTGGGCTAATTCACATATTTCTCTTTCTGTTAATTTTAAGGGGTTTCCAAAATATTCTAATTATTATCCCTTAAATGTTGGAAGTAGAATCTCTGGCTCAGG